CTGGGTGGCTCAGTTGGTTAAGTGACTGCCTTTGGCTCAAGTCATGATCCTGGAGTCCTGGGATCAAGTCCTGCATCAGGATCCCTGCTCAGCAGGGAGTTTGCTTCTCCCTCTGACCCTCCCCCCTCTCATGCTCTCTCTGTCTCATTCTTTCTCTCTCAAATAAATAAATAAAATCTTAAAAAAAAAAAGGTGTCCCCTTTAATATTTCTTGCAGAGCTGGTTTTGTGTTCACGAACTCATTTAGTCTTTGCTTGTCTTGGAAACTCTTTATCTTTCCTTCTATTCTGATTGACAGTCTTGCTGGATATAGTATTTTTGGCTGCATATTTTTCCCATTCAGTACGTTGAATATATCATGCCACTCTCTTCTGGCCTACCAAATTTCTGTGGTCAGGTAGGCTGTTAACCTTATGTGGCTACCCTTATAGTTAAGGACTTTTAGTCCCTGGCTGCTTTCAGAATTCTCTCTTTATCTTTGTACTTTGCAAGTTTCACTATATGTCTTGGTGTTGACTTTTTTTGTTGTTGTTGATTTTGAGGGAGTTCTCTGTGCCTCTTGGACTTGAATGCCTGTTGCCTTCCCCAGATTAGGGAAGTTCTCAGCTATAATTTGTTCAAATAAACCTTCTGCCCCTTTTTCCTGCTCTTCTTCTGGGACTCTTATGATATGGATATTATTGCATTTTGTGGAATTGCTGAATTCCCTAAGTCTATATTCTTGATCTAATAATTGTCTTTCCCTCTTCTTTTCAGCTTCATTATTTTCCATAATTTTATCTTCTGTATCACCTATTTGATCCTCTGCCTCTTCCATGATCATTGTGATTACATCCAGTCGGTTTTGCATCTCAGTTATAGATGTTTTTATTTCGGCCCGACAAATTTTTAGGTCTTTTATCTCTGCAGCCAGTGTTTCTCTGGTGGCTTCTATGCTTCTTTCAAGCCCAGCTAGTATTTTTATGACTGTTGTTCTAAATTATTGTTAAGATATATTGCTTCCGGACTTCCAGCTCTATTACAAAGCTGTCATCATCAAGACAGTATGGTACTGGCACAAAAACAGACACATAGATCAATGGAACAGAATAGAGAGCCCAGAAATGGACCCTCAACTCTGTGGTCAACTTATCTTTGACAAAGCAGGAAAGAATGTCCAATGGAACAAAGACAGTCTCTTCAACAAATGGTGTTGGGAAAATTGGATAGCCACATGCAGAAGAATGAAACTGGACCATTTCCTTACACCACACACAAAAATAGACTCCAAATGGTTGAAAGACCTCAATGTGAGACAGGAGTCCATCAAAATCCTAAAGGAGAACACAGGTAGCAACCTCTTTGACCTCAGCCGAAGCAACTTCTTCCTAGAAACATTGCCAAAGGCAAGGGAAGCAAGGGCAAAAATGAACTATTGGGACTTCATCAAGATAAAAAGCTTTTGCAAAGCAAAGGAAACAGTCAACAAAACCAAAAGACAACCAACAGAATGGGAGAAGATATTTGCAAATGACATATCAGATAAAGGGCTAGTATCCAAAATCTATAAAGAACTCATCAAACTCAACACCCAGAGAACAAAGAATCCAATCAAGAAATGGGCAGAAGACATGAACAGACATTTTTCCAAAGAAGACATCCAAACGGCCAACAGACACATGAAAAAGTGCTCAATATCGCTCAGCATCAGGGAAATCCAAATCAAAACCTCAATGAGATACCACTTCACACCAGTCAGAATGGCTAAAATGAACAGTCAGGAAACAACAGATGTTGGCGGGGATGCGGAGAAAGGGGAACCCTCCTACACTGTTGGTGGGAATGCAAGCTGGTGCAGCCACTCTGGAAAACAGTATGGGGGTTCCTCAAAAAGTTGAAAATAGAGCTGCCCTATGACCCAGCAATTGCACTACTGGGTATTTACCCCAAAGATACAAAAGTAGGGATCCGAAGGGGTACGTGCATCCCGATGTTTATAGCAGCAATGTCCACAATAGCCAAACTGTGGAAAGAGCCAAGATGTCCATCGACAGATGAATGGATAAAGAAGAGGTGGTATATATATACAATGGAATATTATGCAGCCATCAAAAGGAATGAGATCTTGCCATTTGCAACGACATGGATGGAACTGGACGGTATTATGTTGAGCGAAATAAGTCAAACAGAGAAAGACATGTATCATATGATCTCACTGATATGAGGAGTTCTTAATCACAGGAAACAAACTGAGGGTTGCTGGAGTGGGGGGTGGGGTGGGAGGGATGGGGTGACTGGGTGATAGACACTGGGGAGGGTATGTGCTCTGGTAAGCGCTGTGAATTGTGCAAGACTGTTGACTCTCAGATCTGTACCTCTGAAACAAATAATGCAATATATGTTAAGAAAAAAAAAAGAAGAAGAAGAAGGTAGCAGGAGGGGAAGAATGAAGTGGGGGAAATCGGAGGGGTAGACGAACCATGAGAGACGATGGACTCTGAAAAACAAACTGAGGGTTCTAGAGGGGAGGGGGGGTGGGAGGATGGGTTAGCCTGGTGGTGGGTATTGAGGAGGGCACATTCTGCATGGAGCACTGGGTGTTATGCACAAACAATGAATCATGGAACACTACATCTAAAACTAATGATGTAATGTATGGGGATTAACATAAGAATAAAAAAAACAATGAAAAAAAAAGATATATTGCTTATATCTGTTTTGGGTAAATCCCTGGCTGTGCTTTATTCTTGATCTTTCTTTTGGGGAGAATTCCTCCATCTTGTCATTATGTCTAAGTTTCTGTCTTTCACATGTTATGAAGGCTTGTTATGTTTCCTACTCCTGAGAGTAATACTATATTAAGAGGGGGTCATACACGAACCATGAGAGACTATGGACTCTGAGAAGGAAATTGAGGGTTCTAGAGGGGAGGGGGGTGGGGGGATGGGTTAGCCTGGTGATGAGTATTAAAGAGGGCACGTACTGAATGGGAAAAAAAAAAAGAAGGGGTCATACACTGTCCAGGGCCTGGCATTTCAGGAAGTGTTTCTGGTGTATGCTGTGTGCACTCTGCTATTGTGTTTTGGCTGCTCTTTTCCACAGGTCAGTCCTCTGCAGAGGTCCTCCTTCCTTGCAGTGGGGAGTGTTTGGACTTTTAACTAGGTGTGCTTTGATTTGTTTGTTAAGATATAAAAGGGCAAAAAAGTCCTGATCCAAGGAAAGAGAAAAGGAAAAGGAACAACAAACAGACAAACAAAAAAGTATAAGCCTGAGTCCAAAGATAAAGAAAGAAGGAAAAAAGAAAAGAAAAAAGCCTGATCCAAAAAATGAGAAAAGGAAACAAATAAGCAAACCAACAAATGAACAAAAAACTATGAGCCTGATTCCAAAGAAAAAAAGAAAAAAGGAAAAGAAAAAATAAAAAACCAGTTCCACCAGAACTGAAGCTGAGACTTAAGCACTCTGTGATCGGTAGACCTGGTACATGAGGGGGGCCTGTGTTGGTCTTCTGAGGGAGGGGCCCGCTGCTCTGTCTCACAGTCAGAACTGCCCTTGCAAAGATGCCCTTGCCAGGCGCAGGGGGCCAGGATTTGGTGTAAGGGACTCCAGCCTCCACTGGAGGTGCTGTGTTTCTCTCTCAAGTCTGACAGGGTGTGCGTGTGGGGGTGGAAGATGGTGTCACCCCGCCCTCTCATCTCCAGGGAGGGGTACTCACAGCCTCCCTGTTTAGGCAGCCCTCACAGAAAAGAGAACAATCTCCTTTCCTCTGCCGCAGGCTTTCATCAGATCCATGCCCTCAATCTGTCTGTGGCTGGCTGTGGGCACGCCTGGCACCACAGTTCTTCTATGTTTTATCTTTGGCCCATGGCTGGGTTTCAAAACTCCGTATTTTAAAGGGCACGGCAAGGTGTGGACCTGTTCCCTCCCCTGGAGAAGAGCCTCACAGCATTGCACCTGGCACTGTTCAGTACCAGAAAAGCAGTTGCCTAGGCTGCACAGGTGGCTGGAGTCTATGGTGATGCACAGGGAAAAGCTATGACCAGATTATCAGCCCTCTGCCTGCACCTCTGTCCCCTGCTGTTGAACTGCTGCTCTGTGGTGCCTGGTGGGCCTTTTGTCCTTGGAGAGGCAAAAACTCTCTTCCAGGGGCCCCTGGGTGGCTCAGTCAATTGGCTTCTGCCTTTGGCTCGGGTTGTGATTTGGGGGTCCTGGGATCGAGCCCCATGTCAGGCTCCCTGCTCGGCGGGGAGCCTGCTTTTCCCTCTCCTCTCTGCTCCTGCTCTTTGTTGCTGTTTCTCTCTCTCTCTCAAATGAATAAAAAAAAAAATCTTAAAAAAAAAAAAACCCCTCTTCCAAATGTACTCTGGGAAGGGGAGCTTTCTTTCCCAGTGTCACGCAGGGGATTCCCACACCACGACGTCTTGCACAGACCCTCCCGCTACTCTTTCCCTCCCTCCCCAACTTTGTTCCAAGAAAAGTGCTCCCTCTTCTCTGTGGCACCGCAGCTTTTTTCTCCCCCAATTCATGGCTCTGAAACTCACATCTGCCATGTTCTCTCCCTCCAATTGTGCAGATTGTTTTCTTAATCCTCAGATTGATTTCCTATGATGTTTTGATGTTGAGCTAGCTGTGTTCCAGGGAGGAGGAAGCCCAGGGTCCCCCTACTACTCCACCATCTTAAGTCCTCCTAGAAATTTAAGTATTTTCTCTCATTTAGTTAATAGAGTGTGAGGTCTCTGATGGCAAAGATTATGTATCTTAATATCTTTCTTCTCTCAAGGCAATTGGCATTCATTGTTTACCTCTGGTAAATACCTACTTATAAATTCAGAATTATGTGGAATGACGTGGTTATTGACTCTAGTATTGCACAAGTTAAAAAATCACAAATGTTCTTAGCCTTGTATCTGTGACTGAAAAACTAAGACAATAATTAATATGTGTGAAATGTGCCAATGTTAGCATGCTACAGTGGGTTTACTTGCAATATGTCTCTGCAATGAGTTTCTTCTTTCTTGTAGGACATTTTTAAAGCTGGAGATACCAATGAGGATTCAAGATTGGACTTTGGAGAATTTTTGCAGTACCTTAAAGACCACGAGAAAAAAATGAGGCTGGCATTTAATAGTCTGGACAAAAATAATGATGGTGTGTGTTTGTGTTTTATTACAATTAGCTTAACACGAATAATAATTGTCAGTATTAAAGGACATTGTTTTATCAGCCTTTAACTTCCTCGTACCATCAGAGATTCAGTTATTTCTATTGCATGTCTAGTAGTAATTTTTTCTTTTGGAGAATATTATATAAACTATATTTATTAGTGTTAAAGTTTTTGTGTGGTTACTATATTTTTAAATATTTAATTTATTTATTTGAGAGAGAGAGCACAAACAAGGAAGGGGCAGAGGGAGAGGGAGAAGCAGAATCCCCGCTGAGCAGGGAGCCTGATGCAGGGCTCCATCCCAGGACCTCGGGATCACGACCCGAGCTGAAGGCAGACACTTAACTGACTGAGTCACCCAGGCGCCCCTGGTTACTATTTTTTAAATAAAATAATTTGTCCTCTGAATTTAAAGCTTCTTGGCTTAGGGAGTAGGTCTCTCCACTCTTTTTTTTTTTAAATTTTTTTTTGAAGATTTTATTTATTTGACAGAAAGAGACACAGTGAGAGAGGGAACACAAGCAGGGGGAGTGGGAGAGGGAGAAGCAGGCTTCCCACCGAGCAGGGAGCCTGATGCAGGGCTTGATCCCAGGACTCTGGGATCATGACCTGAGTTGAAGGCAGACGCTTAACGACTGAGCCACCCAGGCGCCCCAAGGCCTCTCCACTCTTTTGCAATGTATGAGCTGAAAGTATCATGGTAATTTAAAAAAATGCCATTGTTTACTTGCTGATTTTGAAAATATTTTGGTTGCAGGAAAGTTAGATAACACAAAGATCTTAAAAGAAAGTAAAAGTTACTTGTAACCCTGCTGTCTGGAGATCAGGTTTAACATTTTAATATATTTTTATAGTTTCTTCTAGACTTTTTATTTCTTTCTTGGTTTCTCTTTCTCTCTCTTTTTTTAAGCATACACTTTTTTTTTTTAAGATTTTTTAAAATTTATTTATTTGACAGAGAGATAGCACAAGTAGGCAGAGCGGCAGGCAGAGGGAAAGGGAGAAGCAGGCTCTCTGCTGAGCAGGGAGCCCAATGCGGGGCTCGATCCCAGGACCCTGGGATCATGACCTGAGCCGAAGGCAGCCACTTAACCGACTGAGCCACCCAGGCGCCCCAGCATACATACACTTTTTAAAAAAAGATTTTATTTATTAGAGAGAGAGAGAGCACAAGCAGGGGGAGCGGCAGGCAGAGGGAGAGGGAGAAGCGGGCGCCCTGCCGAGCAAGGAGCCCCATGTGGGGCTTGATCCCAGGACTCTGGGATCATGACCTGAGCCTAAGGCAGATGCTTAACCGACTGAGCCACCCAGGCATCCCTCTTTCTCTCTTTAAATGAAATTGTAGTCACACTACATATAGTTTGATGTCCTACTTTTTTCTTTTAATGTTATAATGTAAGCATTTTCATTTCATTTAATATTCTTCACATAGTTTTTAATGACTCTGAAATATTCCATTTATGAGTAGACTTATCTAATCATTCCTGTATTTTAAGACATTTGGGATGTTTCCAAATTTGTACTCTTATACATAGTGTTGTGATAAATATCCATACTGATTTACAGAGGAAAGGTGCACTTTGTCACAAACCCTTAAATCATAAAGACTGTAGGTAAAAGTAGAATACCATTTCCGCATCCATATGTGGCTAATCAACCATGGGTAATTAGAACCTAATTACACCCTATTTAAGGAACACATGGATTTTTAAGTTTTCAGAAATTTAATTTTTGTTAATTGAAAAATTCTAAGTGTACCAGAGAAGCTATTTAAAGGATTGTACTGATTGATTCTTGGGTAAAACAAAATGTATCCTGAATGTCACAGGCTTTAGTGACCTGTGATACCCAAATTGCAGTGCTTCAAGCTTCCATTCACTTTTTCAGAGAGAAGTTTAGGACTTTCTGGGTCCTGCTATTGAAATAGTGCCCAGGGTGCCTGGGTGGCTCGGTTGGTTAAGCGACTGCCTTCAGCTCGGGTCATGATCCCAGGGTCCTGCGATCGAGTCCCCCATCGGGCTCCCTGCTCGGCAGGGAGCCTGCTTCTCCCTCTGACCCTCTCCCCTCTCATGTGCTCTCTCTGTGCCTCATTCTTTCTCTCTCAAATAAATAAATAAAATCTTTAAAAAAAAAAAAAAAGAAAGAAATAGTGCCCAGAAGCTTTAGAGGTACTACTTACTAATGTCTTTCAATTAGAACTGGTCCTCAGTTGCTGCTGATCTTTTCCCAATAGTTCTGCTCTTGTGCTATTCTGGAATTTCACCTGTTACTGGTGGTTACCATCGTGATCAACATTTGTAAGCTGAAAATCCACTGTGTCAGATAATCAATGAAATCAGATAATTAGTAAAAACATAATGCTATTATTGTCTCTGGTAAAGCTGCAAATCAGTGCTTGTAGCTCTTGGTAATAAAGAGAATACTTTTTCTGAGGCAAGGTGGAAATCCGAAAGTAATACAGTGATTAGCAATATAGATCTTTTCATTTCTGCCTTGACTAGTCAAGCTGGAATATCACAGTTCAGTCCTCAAAGTCCTGTGGAGGTACCATTCTGGTAGAGCTACTGTCCAAATTCCCATGGGCTTCATTTGTTCTGAGCTGTGACAGTTGATATGAAGCTCTACTCTTGGCACCAGGGCTCCTGCCCACCTGGACTGCAGAGCTTAGGCTCTAGCAGAGGTCCGAGGTCTGATCAGGCTGCCTGCTTTCTGTGTCATCACTGTTGTTGCTTCAGTGACCACTTTTGTGTAGAGCTCAGCCAATTTACTTTCACCAGCATGCTTTTTGTGGGTGGAAAAGGGAATACATCCTCTGGTATGGGTTGAATTGTGTGTACCCTAGAAGAGATACATTGAGCCTCCCATACCTCAGACTGTGACCTTATTTGGAAATAGGTCTTTACAGAAGTAATCATGTTAAAATGACACCATTAGGGTAATGCCCAATATCTAATATGACTGGTGTCATATAAAGGGGAAACTTGGACACAGAGGCAGATATGCACAGAGGAACATGATGTGAAGTGGCTATTTGGTGTGATGGGATCAGGAATGGGGTGATGCATCAACAAGCCAAGGAACAACTGCGGCTACCAGAAGCTCAGAGAGAAGCACAGAACAGATCCTTCCCTGGCATCTTCAGAGGGAGCATGGCCCTGCTGACACCTTGATTTCAGACTTCTGGTCTCCAGAACTATGAGACCATAAATTCCTTTTGTTCTAAGCTACCAGATTATGGTACTTAGTTATGCAGCCATAGGAAACTCCTCCCCACTGTTATGCTTAATCAAGTGTCTGATAATACCAGAATATTCGGGGCCTCAACGTATAAGCTTTCTCAATTCATATGAACGTGCAGTCACTTTCTTCCAGAGTGTCCAAATGCTTCCAGATTGGCTGGGCTAGGGTAGTTTCTTGTATCAGGTGTGTGTCTTTGACCCTGGAGCCAACATTTCCTTCTGAATTCTATTACTGGATCTGGCTCACTGGATCTGGCTCACTTCCTCTGCTTTTCCTTCCTGACATCATTGTTCCTGTTGGGACTCTCCCAGCTCATCACACATTATATTTATTAAAAATTAATAGTATGCAGAATTCAATTTTAACCACCTGCTTTCTGTCCCCCAGGAGGTTTTCCAGGCCTTATGCCAATCACTGGAGACAAGAGGATGCACGTGGGCTGGTGTACTATCAAACTCACTGGCAGGACGTGCGCAAGCCCTGATGTAATCTGATCTATTTAACTTCTCTCACTAAGTAGTATCTGAGCTCCTGCTCCTGTTCAGCCAAAGTGTCCATGGAATGCGGTTATAATGATGTGAATGAAGTAATTATTGAATTCTTTTTTAGATGGAGTTTTTTGGGGATTGAAGAAACAGTAGGAAAAGAACTAACATTTATTGGATTTTATTTTCTATATCTTATTTTTGTCTCATACAAGTCATTATAGCAGCTGCATTTTACAGATGAGAACACTGAGGCTAAGGAAGGTTAAACATTTTGATTTCCATTGGCTCTCCCAGTGAGCCACATCTCCCAGGATGTATGCCTTTGTGTTAGCCTTGTGAACCACACAGGCCTGGGCTTGGCCATTTTGACTTACTTCAGTCGTTAGGGTATTAGCAAGGCTTAATAAGTACTGACATATTGGAGCTTGTCCTCGTGGAATACTCTTTCTTAACATCCTGAGCCACCAGAAAAGAGAGCTAGTTACCCAACGGGAGAGATTGCTCATTTAGTTCTCAATTGTTCTACATTTCCATCTGAGGTAACAGACATGAGTGAAGCCATCTTGGATTTCCGACGGTAGTTGAACAAACCTTCAAATGAATGAATTCACAAGAGTGGCTCAGGCAAGACCAGCACAAGAACCAGTGAGTTGAGTCAAGTTCAGATTGCATACCCATAATCAAATACATCTTTTTTAAAACACTAAATTTTGGGATAGTTTGTTACTTAGCAATAAATTGCTGGTACAGGGATGGAATATTTTGCATTTCTCCCTGGTTTGCAATGCTGGAATGGTTGTGGTCCTCCTCTCTATCCATCTAACAGCTATTATTCTGTTGAATTCATTTCAAGTCTATATTCTCAGTGAAAGCTAGCTGCATATAATTAAAGACAATTTTGAATCTCCTTTTCAGTTCATAGGCCTTGATAATATTCTGGATCTCATTACCTAATTTTTTTCTACATCTAAGCTTGGATTTTTAGCTTCTTTCAGGTAAAAATTACTCGATGTATTTTAGTTCAATGAAGCAAACAGTTTTTGAGCACTATATGTGAACTATTGCACTTGGAACTGTGTTAACAAAGGTCTTCAGAAGTAAACAATTTTGGGTGAATTAAGAATAAACATACACAAGACGGACTATGATAGTTACTGTAGAAGCGATATAGGGAGAGCTTAATTGTGCCCAGGGACAGTTTAGATTTGTGCTGGATCAATACATAAACAGAATTGAAAAGAAAGGGTTTCTTGAGGACACTTGGGTGGCTCAGTCAGTTGAGCATCCTACTCTTGGTTTCGGCCCAGGTCATGATCTTAGGGTTGTGGGATCAAACCGTGTGTTGGGTTCTGTGCTCAGTGGGGAGTCTGCTTGAGTTTCTCTCTCTCTGCCCCTCCCCCAGCTCACAGGGCCATTCTCTCTCTCTCTCTCTCAAATAAATAAATAAATAAATAAATCTTAAAAAAAAAGAGCAAAGGGGTTTCTTGAGCAGAGAGATCGTAGTTTGAACAAAGGCAGAATTAGGAAATTGTCAGTCAAGGTCAGAACTGGTTTATATAGCATTTCAGGTTTAGCTCTAACTTAGTATTTTGGGGGGAAGATTTCATTGACATATAACATATATAGCAATGTGCATAAATTCTAAGTAAAAGCTCCATGAATTTTCCTGAGGCAAATATACAACATGGAAATAGCATCCAGATTAAGAAGCAGAATATTACTAGCATCTCAGGAGTGTCCCTTTTTGTCCCATCCAAATCACCACCACCCTCCAAAGTAGCTACTAACCTGCTTTCTAGTACCGTATGTAAGTTCTCAATCAATTTTATTAAACAAGTAAGTGTACCTCACTCATACTGTACCTTTTGCTGAAATGCTTTTTTTGTTTCTTTGGTGGTCTCTTGTTTATCCTTTATAGTACTTCATTTGTGACTTTTGTTTTTAATTCTTATTTATCCCTGCATTGCTTTTTATTCATAACTCTTCTATAACACATAGTTAGCACAGTGCAATATATTTTTAAAATAAGTAGTTCATCCATACAAGCTAGTAAGCTCTTCAGGGGTTGTTTTATTAATCTCTGGCTTCTTTCACATTTAACAGAGTGATTTTAATAGTATACTTTCAAAAAATTTTTTAAGTTATTGAATTAATGAGTATAGTGTTTGAGAATTGTAATGGGATGTAAAGCAGAGGATTCAGTTTCCCCAATTGAAGAAAAGTTTGATTTTTGGGCTAAGGAATAGACCAATGAATTCTACCCTGTGGAACTTGGAACACTAGGGGCCTTGGAGTGATCACAAAGAATCTGAAATTCTGTGTGTGAATACTGGGCTTTGTCTATAGGGTAAATCAATATGTCTCATACATATGTATACTATTTATAAATGTATGCAGATGCAGCTATAGTTCATAAAATATGAAATAAAGATGTGACTGAATTTATAGTAGTTTTTTGATGTTATAGATTGTACAGCTAGGTGACATTAAGTTGATTTTTTTAACATGAAAATGTCCTCATATTTTAAAAGATGAGTAGCCTCAATTCTTTGTTTTACATGGTGGTGCGGGTGGGGGGGCATCAAAGATTTTTTGGACTTGGAGAGCAGCATGATGAGTTAAATGTTTTAGAGTTTGAGGAGCATATGGAATACTTAATTTCTCCTTCACAACATTCAGCAATTTGAGATTGAAATGCATAGTAGGCTTGTATTAAATATATCAGTTGACTCGAGTTATTTAACATGGGATATGGTTGTGTTAAAAAGAGTTTGTGTTCTATTATATTTTAAGTATGTTATTTCTTTAAAAACTTACCTTATAAAATGTTGAGTGGCCTTATTTTCATGCCCCTGAATCAGATCTTCAGAGTTAGCTTTTTAATTTTTTCCAAGTAGGTACAATAACCTAGATAGATCTGTTGTAGATCTAAAATCTCTTATCGGAAACCCTTAGGGTAAAATGTGTTTAGAAATTTAGAATTTGGGTTTTAGAAAAGCAACAGAGTGCGTGTATGATATATTATGTAATACTCCAGGTGGGGCTTGGGGCATCACCATGCAATTATAAGCGTGAATATTTCTTCAGTGAAACAAATGAATAATCACACAAAATCAGATAAATAATTGGCTACCAAATGAGTTTTGGTGCCAAATTTACAAAAAGTCTTTTAGTTTTCAGCGCTTTTAGCCTTTGTGTTGTGAATATAGGATTATAGGTCTAAAAAACATGGACTTTTTAAAGACTATTGCATTCTAAGTATATTTTGCCTTGTTATCTTTTCAGATAATTTAATTTGACATTTTTTCACTTTTTAAAGGAATAATAGAAACTTCAGAAATAATTGCTGCTTTGAAATCACTGGGTATAAATATTTCTGAAGCTCAGTCAAAAAAAATTCTACAAAGGTCAGTCCTTATCCTTATTTTTGATAGTTTTTATTTTTATTTAATATTCCATGATAGAAATTAATTGCTATAGGTGTAGCCCCTTCCTCCCTGCCTGCCTCCCTCCTTTCCTGCCTGCCTGCCTTTCTTTTTAGGTTTGATAATATTAGCTTTTATTGACAGTGTTATAAGAAAGATCCCTAAGAAATTTATTGAATTGTGAGAATGCTATTGACTAAATCATAAAGTGTTCACACGTTACAAAGTCCCTAGAGTAAAATTCTGCCTGCTTTAGTTTAAAGAATAGGTGTAATTCTCTTAAGCAATTGATTTAAAAAAACTTAATTTTTAATTTTTTTGACATACAAAAACTGTACATAACTAATATATGCAACTTGTTGAGTTTGGAGGTAAGTATACACCTAGGAAACCATTACCACAATCTATGCCATAAACATATCCATCCCTTCCAAAAGTTTCCTCCCACCGTCTTATTTATAACTCTTTTTTTGTGATAAGAATACTTTTTTATAGTTAAAACTTAAATTTATTTCTTTTTTATTGAGGTATAATTGACATATAACATTAGTTTCAGGTGTACAATGTAATGTTCTGATATTTGTATATATTGTGAAATGATCATCACAATAAGTCTAGTTAACATCTGTTACCATATGTAATTAAATTTTTTTTTCTTGTGATGAGAACTTTTAAGATTTATTCTCATCAGCTTTCAAAAATATGCAGCACAGTATTATTAACTATAGTTACCATGCTGTACATTACATTCCCATGACTTACTTTATAACTGAAGTTTGTACCTTTCAACCTCTCTTACCCATTTCACTCATCCCCTAAACCTCCACCTCTGGCAACCACCCACCAATCTGTTCTATCTATGAGCTCTTTGTTTTTTTAAAGATTTCACTTACAGGTGCGATCATACGGTATTTGTCTTTCTCTGTCCGACTTATTTCACTTAGCAAAATGCCCTCAAGGTCCATCTATGTTCTCTCAAATGTCTAGATTTCCTTTTGTTATGGCTGAATAATATTCCACTGCGCACACACACACATTGTGTGTGTGTGTGTGTGTCTGTATGCACACACACATACCACATTTTCTTTATCCATTCATCCATTGGTAGACCCTTAGGTTGTCTCCATGTAAGAACAATTAACATAAGATCTACTGTCTTAGCAACTTTTAAAATACTCAACAGAGTATTCTTAGTACTTATTCTTAGAGTATTTGTTATAAATGTTATAAGCACTATTTTTGTTTTAAATTTCAGCATTGATAGTGATGGAACAATGACAGTAGACTGGGATGAATGGAAGTACTACTTTTTACTTCATCCTGCAACAAATATTGATGAAATTGCTAGTTTCTGGAAGCATTCTACTGTAAGATTGCTTTGTATTTTAATCTATTTTTATTTTGTCACAATGTCATAGCTGTTATTATGATTACATAACCTCTATAATACTTCCAGCCTCAGTGGCTAAAATAACAATATTCTCTCCTTATAATGTTCTAATTGAGCAACGGGTATTAGTATTAAATGTACAAACATAGCTACTACAATTTCTTTGTTTACTAAAACCTAGAACTTAAAGTATATACTCATCTACTGAAAGGGCCTACTTTGTGTTGAGAATAAATTACTCTAATATAGTTAACTGTCCTAGGAAAGTGGAAAAATAATATACTTTTCTTTTTTCACAGAGTATATCAGAGATGATATACTCACTTAGCTTTCTGTCATGGGAAATGTAAAGTCAAAGATTAAGATTCAAAATTTCAGAATCAGAAAGGATCAAATATATAATCTACCTGTTCTTTTTATGTAAGGACTTGACTCAGAGTTGTGAGGTTTTTTAATCAAAAACTTGTTTTTTCTTTTTTAGATCTCGATGCAGGGGGTTAAGTTAATCATTTATTCATGGCATACTATTTGCATCCTCTTCTTCATAGACAATATAGGGGAGGACAAAGCATAGGCTTCAGAGTCAGATGTCTAGGGTTGAATTTCACTTCTGCCACCCACTAGCTTTATAATCCCTCTGTGCCTCAGTTTTCTCAGTTATATACTGGGGATAATAATGGTAAGAGTTTTGAGAATTAAATTAATACATTAGTTAGTGAATTTAGAAAAGGGCTGGGCAGGTAATATATGTCTTCAATAAATGTTACTTATTATGATAGGCACTTATATTAATATGTGTAGTCTGTGTCTTGGATATGTATATATTCTTAGGAATCATGTAGTGTTTCGTGTGTGTGTGTGTGTATTTAATTTACATAGGTAGTATTCTGCTAAAGTCCACAACTGATTTCTTGCTTTGTTCACTCGGTGTTATGATTTTAAGATTTGTCCTTGTTGTTATGCATTCATCTAGTTTATTGCTTCTAACCACTACATGGTATACATTTAACACATCTTCTTTATCCATTTCCCTAGTAATAGACATCTAGATCTTCTCCAACTTCATCCAAAAAACAAAAAAACCAAAACCAAACAAACAAAAAAACTTTCCTCTTTTGCACTTTAGAGAATTTCACCTGGATTTCTGAGTCAAAACGAATATGCATTTGCAATTTTACAGAGGTTATCCAGTCTTAATTCTATGAAAGATAGCCATGTTATTTCCCAAATGACTTTTTATACCAGCTTACATTGCCACCAGCAATGCATGAATATTGCTTGGTATTATCCAATTTTCTAATATTTTCCACTCTGTTGGGTATAGAGTGGTATCTTGTCTTAATGGGCATTTCTAACTTGTCTTCATAGAAATACTAGAGATTCACATGTTCTTGTCTACAAATTGTCTATTTTTATCTTTGTCTATTTTTTCAAGATTTTTTGAGGCAGAATTGACATACAACATTGTGTAAGTTAAGGTGTACAACATGATATCTGATACACGTATGTATTGTGAAACGATTGTCACATTTCCCTCCATAACCCTCACATAATTACCATTTCTTTTTTGTGGTGAGAACATTTAAGATTTACTCTCTTAGCAACTTTCAGGTATATAATACATTATTAACTGTAATCACCATGCTGTTGTACATTTGGTCCCCAGAACTTATTCACCTCATAACCAGAGGTTTTTGTCCTAGACCAACATCTTCCCATTTCCCTCATTTCCCAGCTCTTGGCAACCACCATTCTACTCTGTTTCTATGAATTTGCCTTTTTTTAGATTCCATATTTAAGTGATACTGTACAGTGTTTTTCTTTCTCTGTTTGACTTATTTCATTTAGCATAATGTCCTTGAGGTCCATCCATATTGTTGCAAATAGCAGGATTTTCTTCTTTCTAATGGCTGAATAATAAACCATTGTGTATATATACTGCATCTTCTTTATTTATTCATCTACAGGTGGACACTTAGATTGTTTCCATTACTTGGTTTTTGTGAATAATGCTGCAACGAACCTGGAGGTACAGATATCTTTTTGAGATCCCGATTTCTTTTTTTTAAATGCTTTATTCGAGGGAGGGAGAATGAGAGAGAGAGAGAGAGAGTGAGAGAGAGCGCACACTTAGGTGAGCACTGGGAGGGACAGAGGGAGAGGGAAACAAGCAGATTCCATGCTGAGCAGGGAGCCAGACTTTGGGCTCAATCCCAGGACCTTGAGATCATGACTTGAGCAGAAATCAAGAGTCAGATGCTTAACCAACTGAGCCACCCAGGCGCCCCTGAGATCCTGATTTCATTTCCTTTGGCTTTATACCAAGAAGTGGAATTTCTGGATATGAGAGTTCTTTTTTAATATTTTGAGGAACCTCATACTGATTTCCATAGTGGTTATACCAATTAAATTCCCACCAACAATGCAGAAGGGTTCCTTCCCTTCTCTCTCCATCCTTACTAACACTTGTTATCTCTTGTTTTGTAGGTAGTTGCTATTCTAACAAGAGGTAATATCATTGTGATTTTGATTTGCATTTCCCTGTTGATTAGTGATGTGGACCATCTTTTCATATACATGTTGGCCATTTGTATGTCTTTTTTTTTTGAGAAATACCTGTTTTGTTGTTTTGCCCATTTTTTTCATTAGATTGGTTTTTTTTGTTGTTGTTATTGAGTTGTATGAGACCCTTATATATTTTGCATATTAACCCCAAATCAGATATATGGTTTGTAGGTATTTTCTGCTGTTCTGTAGGTTGCCTTTTTTCATATTGCTGATTGTTTCTTTTACTGTGTAGAAGCTTTTAAGTTTGATGTAGACCTACTTATTAATTTTTCCTTTTGTTTTCTTTTTAGAAAGAGAGAGAGAGAGCAAGAGGCAGGGGAAAGGCAGAGGGAGAGAGAGCATTTTAAGCAGGTTCCACGCTCAGTGTGGAGCCCTGATTTGGGGCTCCATCTCATGACCCTGAGATCATGACTTGAGCTGAAATCAAGAGTTGGATGCTTACAAATACTTTTTGCTCTTGCTAATTATGCTTTTGGTGTCATATACAAAAGGTCATTGCCAAGACCCATATCAAGCAGCTTTTTCCTTGTTTATTTTAAGGATTTTTACAGGTTCAGACCTTATGTTTAAGTTTTTAATCCATTTTGAGTTAATTTTTCTGAGTGGTTTAAGGTAAGGGTCCAATTTTATTCTGCTGCATGTGATTAACCAGTTTTCCCAACATCATTCTTTTAAAAGACTATTCTTTGTCCATTGAATATTCTTGGCTCCTTTGTCAAATATGAGTTTACCATATATGTGAGGGTTTATTTCTGGGCTCTCAATTCTGTTCCATTGGTTTATGTGTCTGTTTTTGTGCCAGTATCATACTGTTTTCATTACTATAGCTTTGTAGTATAGCTTAAAATCAAGGAGTATAAAGCCTCCAGCTTTGTTCTCTCTCAGGATTGCTTTCACTATTTGAGTTTTGTGTTTCCATATGCATTCTAGGATTTTTTTTTTTCTATTTCTCTGAAAAATGCCATTGGAATTTTGATAGGGCTTGCACTGAATCTATAGATGGCGTTGGGTATGTGGACATTTAACAATATTAATTCTTCCAGTCCATGAGCATGGTATATCTTTCCATTTATTTGTGTCATACTCAATTTCTTTCATCAATGTTATCTAGTTTTCAGTGTGCAAGTCTCTTACCTCCTTGGTTAAATTTATTCCTAACTATTTTATTGTTTTTGATGCTATTATAAATGAGATTGTTTTCTATATTTCTTTTTCAGATATTTTGTTGTTAGTGTATAGAAATGCAACGGTTTTTATATATTGATTTTGTATCTTGCAACTTTGCTGATTCCATTGATTAGTTCTAAGTTTTTTTTGTGGAGTCTTTAGGATTTCTTATATATAAGATCATGTCATTTGCAACAGAGACAATTTTACTTCTTTTGTTCTGATTTCGATGCCTTTTTTTTTTTTTTTTTTGAGAGAGAGAGAGAGAGAGACAGAGATTGAGCAGGGAGGGGCAGAGGGAGAAGGAGTGAGAGAATCTTAAGCAGTCTCCACACTTGGTATGGAGCCTGATGTGGGGCTTGATCTAATGACCCTGAACTGAAATCAAGAGTCAGAGGCTTAACCAACTGAGCCACCCAGGCGCCTCTGGATGCCTTTAATTTCTCTTTCTTGCTGAGGCTAGGACTTTCAGTACTATGTTGTATAGGGTTGGTGAGAAGAATTGTCACCATTGTCTTGTTTCTGATCTTCAAGGAAAGGCTTTCAATCTTTAATCATTGAGTATTATGTTAGCTATGGGCTTGTAATATATGGCCTTTAATATGTTGAGTTATATTCATTCTATACCCAACTTTTTGAGAGTTTTAGTCTTGAAAGGATGTTGAATTTTGTCAAATGCTTTTTCGGCATTTATTGAGATGATCATATGATTTTTATCCTTAATTCAACGTGATATATCACATTTTTTGATTTGTGTATGTTGAACCATCTTTGCATCCCAGGGATAAATCCCATTTATCATGATCCTTTTAATGTGCCATTGAATTCTATTTGCTAATATTTTGTGGAGGATTTTTGCATTTATGTTCATTAAGGCTATTGGTTTGTAGTTTTCTTGTAGTGTCCTTGTCTGACTTTTGTATCAGGGTAATGCTAGTATTATAAAAATGAGTTTGGAAGGGTTCAGTTCTCTTCAGTTGTTTAGTAGAGTTTGAGAATGATTGGCATTAATTCTTCTTTAAATTCTGGTAGAATTCACCGGGGATACCATCTGGTCCTGGGCTTTTCTTTGTTGGGAGATTTTTTTCATTAGTGATTCAATCTACTTTCTCATTATTGGTCTGTTCAGATTTTTTCTTTCTTCATGATTAAGTCTCAGTAGGTTGTATGTGCCTAGGAATTTATACATTTCTTCTAGATTATGCAATTTATTGGTGTATAATTGTTCAGAGTAATGTCTTATGACCCATTGTAGTTTTGTGGTATCAGTTGTAATGTCTCCTCTTTTGTTTCTGCTTTTATTTATTTGAGTCTTCTCTCTTTAGTTAGTCTAGCTAAAGGTTTGCCAATTTTGTTCATCTTTTTTAAAAAAACCAGCACTTAGTTTTGGTGATCTTTTGTTTTTTGTTTGTTTTTGTTTCCGGTCTCTATTTCACTTATTTCTGCTCTGATCTTTATTATTTCCTTCCTTCTGCTAACTTTGGTCTTAGTTTTTCTTTTTCCAGTTCCTTAAGGTTTATTTATTAATTATTATTATTATTTTTTATTAGTTTCAGGGGTAGAATTTAATGATTCATCAGTTGCATATAACACCCAGTACTTATTACATCAAGTGCGTCCTTAATGCCCATCACCCAGTTACCCATCCCCCCACCCACCCCCCCAGCAACCCTCTGTTTCCTAGAATTAAGAGTTTGCCTCCCTCTCTGTTTTCATCTTATTTTATTTTTCCTTCCTTTTCCCTATGTTCATCTGTTTTGTTTCTTAAATTCCATATTTGAGTGAAATCATATGGTATTTTTCTTTTTCTGACTGACTTATTTCAGTTAGCATAATACTAGTTCCTTAAGGTTTAAATTTAGATTGAGGTTTTTCTTGTTTCTTGAGGTAGGCCTGTATTGCTATGAACTTCCATCTAAGAACTGAGTTTGCTGCATGCCATAAGTTTTGGTATATTATGTTTCCATTTGTCTTAAGGTATTTTTTTTAAATTTCCCCTTTGATTTCATCTTTGACCCATTCAGGGGCCTTATTCTCTCTATTATCTCCTTTGTTTTTTGTATTTAAATATCCTGCATTTAAATACAACATTTAACATATTTCAGCCAGTACCTTTAACAAAAAAATGTAATCCTACTGAAGTCCCGTCTAGCTACCTTATCCTTTTTCTCTCTTCATGGCTATACTTCCCATTCACTTCTCAACTAACTGGTTTTGCTTTCACCACTTTATAGAAATTCTTTTACTAAGCCAGTCTCTCTACTCTTAGTTCAGTGGATATTTTCTAGATCTTACCACTCTCTTTTTTTACGTGTTCTCTTCAGCTGGCTTCCTTGACACTGCATTCTCCTGGTTTCTTCCCACCTCTCTGTCATTACTTTTCTGTCTCCCTTGAGGCTCTTCTTTCTCAGCCTGTCTCATGGCTTTCTTCTATGTTCTAGTTTCAACTTTGTTTGCCTCTCACCTTGTATATTTTTTTTCTAGGCAATCCTATTTACTCTTCCACGTTGAACTATCAGATATAGACCAATTGATTGCTCCAAATCTTACATCTCTAGAGCACACCTTCCTTCTGCATGTGCAAGAATTTATTGGATATTAATTGGGACACCTCAAACACACACACCACATCATTTGTCCCCTAGATCTTCTTTTACCATTTCACTGAATGGTGTCATCATCTTCCTAATTGCTCAAGCCATAAATGTCAACGTTATTCCAAGGTCTTGAGCGTTCCTTTACCCTCCCTCCATCCCTTTATACAGTCTTGCAGTTCTTAGAATATCTAATGTCTATGAACAAATTATTTTCTTTGCCTAGAACATTCCCTTGGTTAATCCCTACTTCTATAGGGAGACAGTACAGTGTGATGGACAAGAAGGTAAACTTTGAGGTCAGAATACCTGGATTCATATTGCTTTGCTACTTCTAAGTTACTTTACATGAAAAGTGTTCCTTGACAGTTCCACTCATCTCCCCCCAACAAAAATAAAAAGAATTCAACACTCCATTAAATGTCTCGATACTGTGTTCTTAAGACTTTTTTTTTGCTATCCTTGTTATTGTACTTATTCCTTTATATTATAATTGCTTGTTTCCTTTCCTATCTTTTGTATTATACTGTCAACTCCCAGAGGGAAGAAACTTAATTTCTGCACTATATTATGAATACACAACCCAGCACCTGGTGTGTTAATTTATTAA